ACCAGATTTATTGAAGATATAGATGTAAATTGTTCATTCTGTTCATTACACCCAGAAACGGTACCTCATATGTTCTGGCATTGTCAATATACAAAGAGGTTATGGTGGGAAGTTTCTAGATTTATAAATGACAAAGTGTTGTGCAACTTTCTTCTACGTCTGTATAAACACAAGAGTATATTTATGAAAACCTAGTTTGATAAAGGGATTATTTTGGTAGGACAGTTGTTGAATTCTCAGGGGTATTTACTTAAATTTCATAATTCACCGTTGTAAATTCAGCAATCAGAAACCTCTTTTGTTCTGTGGTACTTAAGGAATTAGATATCTATAGAAGCACCATTAAGGAGAGTACAAACAAAAAAGCTGTAAAAACTGTGTATTTATTTGGTATATTTAAGTTATTGTGATTTAACAAGGCCTTTCATTTTTTCATTATTTGATTTTATTTGATTTGTTGGTTTTATATATACATGTATAGTTAATATGTACTTTGTATGTTTTTTTGTGTATACCCGTGGCACTTTTGTTTTGTATTTGTAGTTCAAGCATTAATAAAAATAAAAATAAAATCTCTTGGAGTAAAGTAAAAAAGCATAAAACAAAAAACATCAACCAAATCCTCCAATTACTTAACAGTGTGTGTTTATATTATATTAATATTATTCTTTAATCTAAATATGTGGTTTTGAGATATTTAAAACAAAAAAAAGCATTGTGTATTTTTGTTTGTCCCGGGACACTACTAAGGACATTTTGTAATGTGGGGTGTTTTTTTTCTTCATATAGAAGCACATGTTCAACAGTTGTTATACATAGTCCTGTTTCATGTTTTCCTATTCTGGATATAGAACAATTTAATCCAGTTATTATTGTGTTGTTTTTCCCTTTAACCTGTCTTGCTTAGTAGGCCTAGCCTACACGAGTATCAACTTCAGGATGCTCAGCTGCTTGTTTTGCTGGGTCATCAGCTTTGGATTCCCACATGTGCAGGTACTCACACGAATCTTAGCATTTTTTCCCCCATATTCTGTAATTTAAGCAAATGTAGAAGGATTACATAAACTATATTTGGTTGTGATGTAGACTTTACCACATTCAATGACTGACCTTCCTCTGCCCATTCAAGGGCTAAAGATAGCTAATTCTGTTGTAAAAACTGAAACATCATTAGATGTCCTTTTCTTTAAACTGACTTTGAATTTTGGGATATATATTGATGAAGCTGTTTGACCAGACCAACATTGCATTATGGTCATTATTAAATGAAATGCTAGAAATGCTGCAGGAGAGGATGAAAATCACCTTTCCGTACTCTCCATACTCTAATAGTATTTAGTACACAAATAGTACTGTATAAAATCTGTTTAAAATTACATCTACTCAAATAAAATTAAGACTCCAGCCAGCCATATCAATATGACATATTTTACACCACGTGTACTTTATCTGCCATGTTGACCAGAAAAAAAAAGAGTGCATCTTTAAACGTACCAAAAAAATGTATATTGTAGCATATTAATATATGTAAGTGCTTAATATGGTAATATCAAAGGCATTGAATATGATTGATGTACAAAGTCATATACATTACTTTATAGTTATACATAATTGTAGACAGGACACTTAAACATTAAGCTTAGCTACTTTAGCTTAGCTTTGGTTGATACTAATAATTTTAATGCATTTTTATCTTTTCGAAAACATTTTATATCATCAAACTAAACTGGCAGACCCCTGGTTTAAAAATCCAGAGTGGTTCATAAAACCCTATTTAATAAATCAATTTTCATACTTTCTTGCTTGCACCATATGTGAATAATATAAACGCTATTCACAGTTCTTGTTAAACTGTATTTCATTTACTTTGTTCTCCAGACAATGACAAATTTGAAAGTGAAGGACGTTACAGCTAGTTCCTGAAATGATTCTTTATGTATAGTACCCATCTGTTGTGCAGATGATGGACGACTAAGACAAAGACCAAAAAAGCATTCTCACATTTATTTGGGTCAATTAGAACATCATTAGAAATAAAAATCTCAACTGATTGTGACTGGACCAGAGCTCTGATGGAGATGCGGCTGGAAATTGCCCTCCACAACACGCACTATTCTAACTCCCTCACTGATATGAAGCCACAGAGGTTCTTATCTGTCAAAATCACCAGGGTGGAGGTAAAGCTTAAAGTTATGCAAAACACATCTGGCAGACATCAGATAGACAGACACTGCAGTGGTATAAGGTGCTGCATAACCTTCCTCTGACATGAACACACACAACGCAGTCTACTATTAACAGGGTAGAGAAATTCATGTTTGTCTGTCAGTCAGCCAGTGCATGAACCAGTAGAGACAACAGCAGGTGTGTTATTACTGTTTTACTGACAAGCATTATGGTCAAGCACAAAAACAGATGTAAGGGGCCTGTACTGGATTCAGGCACAGATGGTCTAGAGCGCCCTCGAGTGCTCCACTGAAATTATACTGCGGTTTGTTTAACTTGGTTATGTATACAAATCCCTGGTTATTAAAATAAAGCTCTTTATGTTTCATGATTTCAAATCAAATCATAATGTAGTGAAAACAATGTACTGATAAAATTAACAGTAATAATCCTGGAGGCTGATGCGGACTGATTATCAAAAAAAGTTTGTCATCTTAAACAAGTGCATATGAAGAATTAGGAGTCCAACTTTGTGGGCCAGCTCAGTTATATCATTATAATTTTAGACTATGCTGATAGCTTCCCATTCAAAAAAATCTCTTCTGCTCAATGGCATACATCTTCCCTGCAGGCAGCTTTCTGAAGAACAGACTGTTGCCTCTGCTCATGTTTCCCTGAGAGACACAAGAAGAGAAGAGGGAATCAGAATGATATTTTCTGACAGTTTTTTTCAAATGTAACCCATTGCTAAAGAAGTAATTCCTAATAATGAAATGTCTTCGTAATTCACTGACAAATTATTTTTTTGTTGCTCAAGATGTTCTGTCACTCATCCAGTTTAATACATTAACTTGTTTGGATGACAAGAGAAACATCTTGATACCGAGCAACAGAAAATAAAAAAAAAACATCCAGATGACTAGAATAAAATACTTTCCGGTTGTTTTATGCAGTCACGTAGGTAAACTCTTTATTACAGTAGTGTGCTGCTTTAATTCTATTAGCCCTTTAATTCGATTAGGCTATTCAAATTCCAATTAACATTAGAAGCTCATCAGCGGAAGAACTAAGACATTCAAGAAACGTTAACAAAATAAAAAAAACTAAACTCATATCAAGAAAAATTGCTCACCTCTCGGCTCAGGTGACTCCAGCAGTGGAGCCAGTTGGGATAAACGGCAGCATAAGGTGGCAGACCTCCAGCCAGCCTGGGTCAGATCAGGAGAAACATTAGTTACAACAATTCCGCCATTAGTCTTAAATACTTTAAGGACATATAGGTAGCCTACATGCCAGTACATGGCATTTTTGGGAAAGGGGAAGAAGCTGAATAAATGAACTAAAGTCATAGAACTTGATCATTTGAAAGGGGTGAACAAGTTTAAGATTACAAGCTTCTTATGAAGTTAAGAAACCAGCTCTCTGACTACTGACTCACTATTCAGTAAAATCTCATGTAGTGCCATTCACAAATGCTTCCACTAGAGTCACACAACATCCCTTACCCACAGTTATTTACTGCCATCAGGTTGGACACCAATACAAATGGATACGTCAGCATACTTGCAAAAAACTGAAAAAAGGAAAATACATTAGAATGAGAGCAATAGCACAACTTAGTCAAACAAAACAACACTCTAAAGACATACTTACAATAGAGTTGCCACTGGCTGATACATTTTTTTACTGTACTTGTCAGACACACACACAAACACACATAAATCAAAACATAGGCTATCTCTCTGGCGTTTTCCAAACCAAGAGCTGTCTTGTTTTTTACCTTCTATATTTTTTGTAATTTAGACATTTTTTTATTGTTACAATTATATTACTATTTTCATTAATACAATAAGACATGTAGAAACTATCTGAAAAGTCCTAATCTCTTCAGCTGTTTAAGAATATACATACATTTGTAATATCATCTGAAAGCATAAGAGCTAGAAACATCAGCCAATAAAGTTTTTTATTATAGAACATTAATAATTAGATGTTAAAAATAATTAGAACATTAAAAACCATGTTTGAATAAAAATGTATAAAAGCATATTTGTTATTTTAAACAGAAATTGCAGGCTGGTGGTGGGTGCTCGAGACACTATTCGTCATTTAATGTTTCTGTAAAAAATAACTTACCCCTGTCACAGCTTGAGAGCAGTTTTTAATCTCTCCTGTATGACTCGTCTGAGACAGGCACAACAGGACAATCAACTCAGTACATAACATGCAACTACAATTGGCACAAATGTTGTTCTAGCAAAACAGTATGCAACGATGAATCGGTAAATACTGAAAGATTAAAAGGATCTCACACACATAAAATGACATTTTTTAAAAATTTTTGTTTTGTTGTTTGTACACAAGTTTGTGTGTTTACGTACCGAGTCGTCTATAGCATGTGTGTTTATGAGGTGAGCAAGCATGTTGCAGATCCACAGAGAAAGAACATCACCCAGTAGACGAGGAATGAGGCCACTGTGGGTTGACAAACACATAAATGCTGAAGGTAAAGACACAGAGTTGTATAATGGCCTGACAGCATTCATGAAAATATTTATTTATTTAGCACTTAAAATGACTAGTACACTTGTAAGGTTGATGGAGTTTTTTTTTTCCACATGCGTTTTTAACATGGCGTCATACATTAAAAACAGTACAACTTTTAAAAATGCATCATGAGGCAACCTATAGATTACCTCATTTGAAAATATGTAATTTTGCACTTACGCAAAAAAACCCAGAATTCCGTCTTCTCTGTAGATGGTAACTATGGAGTCAAAGACACCACTGGAAAGAACAAAAAAATTATTAAATGTGCAAAACGGAGAAGAAAAACAACTGAAAAGAGAACAACTGACCTGTATTTGACTTCTCTTCCAATAAACTGGACCATGCATCTGAGTGTGATCACTGGGATGGGGGAAAAAAACAACAGGTGACATTCACAGACTGAGAGAAAAGTGAGATTCAAATCACAAAACCTGTTATTTATTGTATTAACTGTATTTACCATGAAAAGGGTGTGTGACAATTGTAGCACATGAGCGTGCAATCATCTCTTTAGTGGTCTGAGAGGACAACAAAAAAAAAAGGGGAAAGAAACATCAAAAACACAAAACATTTTACATTTCATTAAACAGTAACTGGTGCAAATGAAAGTCTGCTTGCAAATATTTTCTAATTGTGTCATTCAGTCACATCAGACTCATGACTATGTAAACATGCTTTGGCTGACATACAAGGTATGAAAACTGTCCAAAATTCTGCTTTAAGGGTCTCACCTCATTTACTACATGTTGCAGAGAACCATCCTCTGCTTTCTGACTGCTTCCCACCATCTGAGAAGGTGAAGAGATGAGATACGTGCTATTATATAATCTCGCATGTGTAACTAACTGCAGCAATGCCACTCAAAGTAAAAAAAAAAAAAAAGCAAAAATAAATGGATTCAAGCACTAAAATAATACCTCTGAGAACACATACGTGTTCCTACCTCAATTTTTTCCTCCTGGCATTTCTGTGGGTTATATCAAAAGGTTAGAGCCATTTCAAACAGTATAAATAACCTCTGCTTAACTGTGCTCAGCCAGATAAACACAAGTCACATTGCAACAGTCTGAACACTGCAACATACAGCCAGCAACATCCTGCACAAATCATGGTTACAGAGGCCTATCTAAAGGCTGGAAAACATTACATGGAAACATGCACTTTACTGACTGCAAATGGTTACAGAGGAAAAACTGGGCATCTTACACCAAACAACTAAGGATTACACACTACCAGACTTCCAGAACAAAGCAAACTCACTCAGAAACATGCACATTTCTTATCAAAACAAAAAAAACCTCTGAAAAACCTGGTGTGCATACTGTACCTGCAAGACTCTACTGTGAACAATGGTGCCAACGGTCCCAGCAAAAAGCCTTGGGGTGAGACCCTTAAACAGGCCTGATTTCCCATCGATCTTGATGATGTGTTTGGCTAAATGAAACAAATGCAAGTCTGAACTGCATGCATTTTCCAGAATTCTTAAAATCAAATTAAATATCAATTGAAGACTTAAATTAATGGCTACGGACACAAATAAGAAGCAATCGGTCCCTTGATGATCTTACCGTATGCAAAAAGCCCTGGAAGCTGGTACACCTGTCGACCAAACATATTTCTTCCTAGAGTAGGAGGAAGTGGTTCATGTCCTACCTATATTTGCAAAGATACAAATACCTTAGTTCACCAATAAAAACAGGTGAACGTGACAGACTGATACACAATATATTCTATTGTGCCCCTAAACAAAAACAAAAAACACATGTAGGCACTCGGTTCCCTCTTATAGTACTGTTATATTAATATCTGTTATATACAATATCTGAAGAAAGAAACAACCAAAATAAGAAATGTTATATTACTACTATGTGAAAAGAAGTAAAGCTGATTCAATTTACTTTCACTTGTTTCAGCGGACACTGGTGTAAAAATGCTGTTTGCACGGTTTTCAGTGGACTTATAATGCATTAACACAATACGACTTGTAAGTATATTCACAAAAACGGCCATAAAAATGACACCTGACAGACCTAACAGGCTGACCTTTTAGACCATTAACTCACACACACCAGATTGACAGCGGTCAACAGCCCTGCT